GTGATGACATCTCCAGTTCTAAACACCTTAGTCTTCCACTTACTTGGATATTTTAGACAAACACGAAGCTACATGACGGCACATTCAAACAGAATTTGTTTCGGAACCAAAAGATTGGTCACTAGAAAAAATGACAAAACCAGGAGAGGAAATGCATGCAATTAAGATTCTACTATTGAAAACGTTATGATGATTATAATTTTTTTGGGTTATCAATCCTAGGATTTGTTTGCAACCCCATTTCAGGGTTTTCTTGCGAAGATACCACGGTGGTTTCGCCTTGCCTTCCGTGGCCAGTCTTTATCCATCAGACTGGAAGAGGAGACGCGGACAAACATCCATGCCTTAGTGGGACTCGAACCCCCAGTCCCAGCAGCCAGGCGCACGAGGTCCACGCCTCAGACCGCATGGCCACTGCAGCCGGCACGATTATCATTCAATATCTTCAGTTTCAAAGCACCAATTCTTGTGAAAGACTGAATACAGATAGCAGCCACTTCAAGAGATTAAACTGATACAAAAATTTCAAGGTCACAGTGAACAGCAAAAGAAACTTCCATTCACAGACCCTTCAAAATTTTAATCCTTAATGACTTAGGACAGCGAGGCAGAGAGAGGATTTGAAGGACAGTGGAAGGATGAAGTGGAATGGCAATTGGGAATCGAAAGACATCAGCCGTGTTAAAGAAACTGACGCGTACGTACACGACTCATTGCGCGGTATCGGACAGTGAGCACAAGACTGTGTCAAGATGTTAAAGAAGAGGAGGTAATGGAAGAGAAGCTGGAGACAAAAGAAAGTGAAAGTGAATGAAAAGTATGGGAAAATGTTATAGAAAAAAGAAATCAAATAAAACTATGTCATCTCCATTCCTATATTGTTCAGAAAAGCATCACTATACAAAAACTGACCTCCTTAATTACTCAGATCTGAAAGGGTCAAGGCTTTAAAACAATTCAATGAACCAGCTGTTCTAATAATACACAAACTATATTAACAATCATTCATCATCACCATACTTTTAAATATAAATGCTGATTCATAAATATACAGCTTAATGAGACAAGGAGAATGATCACATACACGTCTAGAAATTAGAAATTGTTATATTCTCTTCTGTGCAATGCCGTGTTTCTTATGTGCTATCGTATTAATCGTGATCCTCAAATTTTGTGTTCGTAAATTAAAGAAATAATGCTAGAATGGTATGAAATAAATTTTCTGAACTCGCATCAATAAAACAGGCCACGCTAGATCTTTTAAACCATGGAAAGGCGACAAATTAAAAGTGTCCATTAGCACAGAAACTATGAATTCAGTTCATTATTCAATAAGCTTCAGGTTATATGTATGTACAATACACATATATACATTTCTAAACTTGCCAGTCACGTCAGTCAATTTCCACTGCATCCTGTCACCAAAATCCCTGAAAACGGTATAAACTTATCTTCTATCCTTTTTCTAGGAAGAGTTTTCCATTGTTGTCACACCAAAGGGTAAGTCAAATCCACATGAAGAACATATTTACAGACTTGCTAAATTAATTGCTACTTTTAATGAAACCCATGAAAATGCATGAGTTTAACAACAGTAAATACATTCAGAAAAACAAAATCAAACTTGCTACAAAAACTGTGAAGATCTGCAACATAAAACACCAACTGATCACATACTTTTCTGTGTGTCCTGTGTTACAACCATCTGCTTGATATGAGAACTTGTGAGTCATCTTCCATAATTATGCAAAAAGTCAGAAAAAATAAAATTGATGTTGGGTAATATATACCAATCAGCTGTGCCATTAATACTTTTGGCAGTGATCATCATCTCCATAGCACATGAAGATTTCTGTCTTCTGGGTTGTTGCGCTGTGTAGTCTGGTCGATGTTAACCAACGATGGCGATGATGACGGAGGCAGTATGACCTCTGAAACATTGGTTAACATCGACCAGACTACACAGCGCAACAACCCAGAAGACAGAACTCTGCTGAGAAAATCTCAAACCATACATAGCACGTCAGTCTCAGACCATTGAAATGGTCACATTGATACCTAGGTTGCCATTATCTGCAAATAGTTGGGCAATACTGGTGTCGAATACAAGGCAGTCGGAGTTCATGATGGCAGACGAGACTCCTTCGTGGATGGATCTTGGCGTTGCTTCCCACGTCAAACGTCTTCTCTGGCCATTCAGTTCTAATCTGATATGGAAGAAAGTAACGTGTAGTGTACGAAACTAACGCATATTTAAAAATAATATTAAAAAAACCCAAACGAGTTGTTATTTTGAAACCACTTATGCATCCAAAGCATATGCAACTCATTACTTTGGACACAAGTATATCGATGTGAAATTTATTCTCACATTAAAGACTTCTTTCCCATACACTGTATACAATCACCTTCTTCAGATGATGCAATATTATGAAACATACAAACAGAAAATTGGAATCAGGAAAATGTTTCACGCAGGTGAGATCCAACAAATCATAGAGTTCAAAATATTCAATAGGCTCAGTTTTCCAATCAATACTTGATGGTACAAGCGCTTTACAGTCAATATTTTGCACTTGAATTACTGTGCTTGGGCCAGGGTCTGAAGCCAGTCACTTACCTCTTTAGCTCCGGTTACAATGCCATTGTCACTGGCACCAGCATGCTTATTTCACAATCACTATCACTAGAATACCTGATATACTCCCACTGCTACCATCTGAGACAGTGGTCCCCAACCTTTTTGTGCCTACGGCAACATTTGAGAGTTTATGAGATCGTGGCAGGCACCAACCAATTAACAAAGCCAAATTTTCTTTTCTCTGGACAAATAAGATATGGACACCAAATAATACATAAAACAACACGACGTTTAATGATACAAGAAACCGGGCAATCAAAAATACGTAGTTTTATAAGTATAATTATTATTACTCAAGTGGGAAGTTAGTGTGATGTTTGGCACTGCATTTCATCGGCCAGTTTTTGAAATTTGGGAGTGTAGGATGATGTTGCTGCTCGCAAACAATTGTCAAGATGGGCATCAGTAAGTCGAGATCTGTGCTTTGATTTTATAATGTTCATGATTGAACGGCCTTCATTATTCAGTATAACCTCTCTCCGTACCAACGTGGGCACCCAAAAAAAGCCTTGGCGGGCGCCACGTTGATCTAAGACAAACACTATTTCATCATCTAGCACTCTCCTTCTAGCCATCTTCCATTAAAATCAAACAAAAATAAATAAAAAAAATCACAAGAGCTTCTTACAATCTCATAACACAAAAATCCCATCATCTGTTACACTCTGTAGTACTACAAATACTTCCTCTGATATATCCATTTTACACTCAGAAAATTGAGGGCACTAAGCCAAGTACGAGTACAAACGTGTCTGGATATGCCATTATAAATGTAGCAAGTGGCATAAATTCATAAAGTACTTACCTATATGCAAAGTTTTCTGCCTGTTTCCTTGACCCGATGAGCTGTACTATGGCAAAGAACTGTTGGTGTCCATCAAACTTCTCTTGTTTCTCCAGTACCAACATAAAATGGTGGCCAAAACATGACTGCATCATGACCCAGTCCACTGCTCCTGGTAGGTTGATGTCCGTTGCTAAGAATACAATATCCTCACCTGGAATGGCATGGAATTCTATAGGTGAATCCTGTCAAGTCCAATTTGTAGTTTAAAAGCTGTTTTTTAAACAAGCAATTCTGTGAAAAACTTATGCTGCCTTTACCACTATGTTATCGCCCTCGGTGGACTAGTGGTTAGCGTGCTCGCTACTGGACCCAAGGTTCGCAGGTTCAATCCTGGCCAAGGTCGATGGATTTTTAAGGGTGATAAAAATCGGTAGCATGACTTCTTTCGGAGGGGAAGTAAAGCCGGTGGCCCCATGTCATAGATTTACAGCGTGTAAGAGAACCTTACGAGCAAGATACGAGACGTTTCGTAAGCAAAATTCAGCAGCCATTTCTCACCCAAGTCTCCTGATTAACTGCTAGATGGTTCTGGCAGTCAAATCAGGATTGAGTAGAGTCAGTGGGCTGGTCACTCACTACTTCACGACCAAGACCAAGAAACCTCCGATAAGGAGGCGGCGAAAACCCACAACAGGGTTGTAGAGCCGAGAAACAACAACAACCACTATGTTATGTTTGCCACATGTAACCACAAATTTCCTATTATCTACAGGTTTGTAACTGGCAATATGAAAAGAATGCGTAGCTATTTATGATATATCCCCATGCAAAATATAACATGCCTAACTCTATTGCCACCAAACTGAAAAGTACATACAGCTATTGCATATTTGCCACGTGGTTTTACATTCTTCAAAAAAATTACTTCTATAAAATGCGTCATACTCAGCTTGATTACCTTGCAGTGTTGTGATAGACTTGTGGGACATCATGAGGTGAGGCATCACCTGCTCAAGCGAACCTTGCCATTTGCAAGAAGCCCCTGGGCACGGGCAGGAGTATGGCCGGAATTCACACGTTTCTTCATGTTCTCCCTTCTCAGTATGTAGAAGTGACACAGCACAGCCAGATGTTGAATATTTGCAAGGAAACATAACAGTGATCGCAACTTTCTCCATTGCTAAGTTGCGAATATTCCCTGCAAAGGAAACAAATTAGAAATTAAAAGTGCTAAAGACATTACAACTTCATATTCTTGTTATTATACTTAAATCTGCATAGTGAGAAGCTTCGTATTTCATAATCTACAGATCACAAAACCTGAGGAAGGCTAAACGGGGCATGCATGGAAAAGATTAGAAAAGCATAACAAAATTGAGTCAGAATATCTGACAGGGACAGAAGACTTGGTAAACAGCAAAATGTGCACTCACCCAAAGGTCCCCTGCATGTCGGACAACAAGTCAGCTTGGGCCGACAATTGGAGCAAACAAGATGTCCACTCTGACACTGCAATATCGGAGGCAGGACATAATCAAAGCAGACTGGGCATTCAAACAGACTTGCCAGGTCTGCTGAAACAGTTGTTGTGTTGGTCGCCGTGGCTGATGAGCTAGATGTACTAGGAAGTCCTCGACGTTTTGTAGAGAGCACTATCTGGTTACTCATTGTGAGGTCCCTGTAACAAATAAAAAATACCATCAATTCATTAAACACAGTTTTTGAAGTTCTCACAATGAATGATGTTAATATTGTTCCCCACTTTGGAAGTTCACAGCTGCCATGGATCAAATGATGAAAATAAAGATGCACGTAGTCATGACATTAATACAATAATAAGCTATAAAGAGGCAACCTGAAGGGTGAGCCATTTACTGAGATACCTGACCACAAAATGGTAAAAAATACATTTTAAACTATTTAAAAATGTGACTACTCAGTAACTTGGTCTACATGACCCCACCCCAAGATCATTTTGCTGTTTTACGATACTTTCCTCTCATATAATGTTTTAAATATTTGGTGCCAGTAATTCTTACTGTAAACAGTATCAAAACAGATGCTAGTTTACAGAATGTTTGGATTTTATAAAAGTACTGTTAATACTAAATACAATTTTACTGAAGAATTTAAGAAGCGTGTTAACATTTCTGTTGCATCTGACACATACTGTAGAACAACTTGCAAAGTTTTTTGCTCAACTGATAAGGGTAAAACCAACAGCGTTTAACAATAACATCAAAGTACTACATCCAGAGATTTAGAGACCTATGGTTCAGGGCCACCATGACCAACCATCTCACAGAAGCTGTATGTAACACAATATAAGTGTCTTTTTAAACTCCTGTAAATCATTTGCCAACTTAGAAAGCAACATCTTTCAAGGTTATGCAACTTTCATTATACAATTACTTTGTCCAGATTACATTTTTAATGTGTATACTTAACTTGCAGAGTCAGTGGGCTGGTCATGCACTACTCACAAATGCACACTTCAAACGTGCAAGAATCCTCCTAAGTGGGGAGGTCATGGCCCAAAAACGGGCTGAAGCACCATAGATGATGATAATTAAATTGTAATAAGATGTTGAAAGAAAATATGACAAGTCTTGATATTTCAACAATTCAATATAACACTGTCCAAAGAAATTAAGCTATTAGTCACAATGGGTCTGAGAGATTGAAGCAGGTACACTCACTATGATCACACAGGCAAATGCAAACTAAATGGTGCCCAGTCACAGTTCAAAGACATGGATGATTGAAATGTACTAAAACAATCCTACAGCTACCTATTATTTATTGTAGTAATTAATAGACCATTTGTCTATGAGACCCAATGCGACTACTAACAGGTTAAAATAATCCATCTTCTTCCTCAGCCTTCTGAAACCACCTAACATTATTTTGATCATGCAGATATCAGAATGAAATCTACAATGCTACCACAAAAGGTAATGACTTAAACTGGAAGTTTTCACTAGGGTAAACTACAAAACCTTTTAATGATAAAAATTATTAAACTGGGTGCATCTCTATCTGAATGAAAAAAAAAGAAGTTGCATTCCAAAAAATAAAGAGACTTAAAAAATCAACCATATTAAACAGTTTCTGGCATAGCACATCATTACACCTCCTGCTGTGTACTAAAATATAGTGCATAGGATATTTAATTGATGAAGTCTGATGAAAGAATATGTGATACCGAAACAAATACTTTCCAGAATTTTCAAGCTGAGGCGCCAAAACTGCTACCCCACTTCCTTTGTGGTCTTCTCAGAGACTTTTACACATATACTGACTATATTTGTGATATACAAATAATACCAACTAAGGATGCAAAATCAAAAGCATGAATTCAGAAAATTTGTGAACTCTGCACAGAAGTACAGTTTTCTACACTTACCAGTAGCATGGCACATTTTTTGTGTTCAGAAGGATTAAAATGTGAAAAAGTCTTTCTTCGTCCTATATTCCTTCCTTACCAGTACACTAATCACCTGTAACATTTTAGAAAGACAAAAACAATTAATTTAACACATTTATATTATAGAAACATAACTCAAGTGCAAATAGTTACTGGACTCAACACCCTGCCTACACATACTTCAGGATAACTTACATATTCCAACCGCTTTATAATTAATACTGACTGACAATGCCACAGCATGAACATACTATCCTATAGGCTTCCAGTAATTTCTTTAGCCTGAGTGTTCTTATTAAATCCACTAACTAAAACTAATTAGGATGAAACTTAATGAGTCTGTACCAATATTACATCTGCTGGAAATGTTCTGTTCATGTGTATCACACAAGACAAATTCTGAATGAAATGTGTTATTGTATACTTATAGAAATGGTGATACTTTGAAACATATTTACATTCCCAGCATTATACAGTATATGGTGCTGAAGGAACAACATGAACATGGGAAAATGGATAAAAGTTAAAACAGTTCTAAATCAACACTACTAATATTGTAACTATAAAAATGATCCTATTATTATAAGTGTTCACAATGATGAGACTGTGCCATTACTAAGATCAGGGTAGACTCTGGCTTCTCACCACAGAACCCAGGTTACTTCAATTGAGATTCGTGATAGATGAAGTAGCACTGGGGCTGGTCACAAACATATATTATTGTCATAATGTAACATTATAAAGTGTGAGTTTCACCATATTTGATTGATGTTATGAAAGTCTGTAGATCTAAGGCCCATAAATGTGATGGTCTGAATAGTGCATGTAACCCTGGAACAAGTAAAATAAGCCTGAACCTTGTAAGGAACAAGATGTAAGACTTTTATAATGGGGGGGATTACTAAATAGCTTAATTCCAGCACAGTAAACTCCTTTTTGATATTGACAAAGTTTAGTGTTTGGCACATGAACGTTATGTCCGTATCTTGTACTTATTTTGTGGACAACTAAGTTTGTTTGAAATTCTCTATGTTGTCCACTACAAATTATAATAATGAGAGCAAGAATTCGCTGCCAAGTGGAAGAATATTAAACTTCTTAAATAATTCCCTACAAGAGGCTCTGTTCAACGCATACTAAACTGATCAAAGTGCTTTCATTTCAGTGTAATACTGTCAAACTAAGCCTTCGTTTCTATTCAAAACCACACCTTTAAACCTAAGCTACGAGTCCCATTACTCACCTAACGAACATTATTCTTGTCCTAATACGTCTTTCAACAGCTACAGGCTCGATAATTCATTATATCATTGTCCAATGACTCTTGCTAATCCAACTTCAGTAAACGAATTGTGTTGATCTGATTCACACATCAAAAAACATAAGTTCATATAGTTTTCAGAACACAATAGGCGGTTACTTCATCTAGGAAATTTAAAAACGACAGCATTTAGTTTTAACGACGTACTAATGAATTTTGACAAATGAGAAAGTTTTTCTTGTTACAGTAATTCAGGTTTTACTTCAAATGCAAAATGCAGCTTACATCACTTAACAAAGAATTGGCAATAATTTGCATCATCTCTGCGTTATATTGACAACAGATATTCATACTAAGTCCTACCAAAGGCGTAAACCGAAATGCAACATAACAACATAGCCAGTACATACACAACTACTAATAGTCCTCACAGATGTGAGACACAACCAAAGATGATAGAATAAATGTAGTACTGCAGCACACCATACATGAACACAGATCATCTCTAGTCGCATTCGACTGAGCGGAGACCACAGGTCACCTCCGCTTTTGTAGCCTAGAATCACTTTTGTAGTATACACGAGACAGCATAATTACCACAGATGAAAATAAATCTTGTTACTATTCTGTACCGTGCGTAAAATTCGTGTTGATCATGCTTAGACTCACAGATAATCAGAACGGCGTAATTGATCACAAAGAGTGGCATGCCAAAATAAATGTTTAAGGAGTGCAGGGAATGATAGTTGCATGTTTCCTATGACACAAGATTAAAACTTTATTTATTTGAACAGAAATCAATACATATGCAGAACTTGGTTACATTTCCAATAGATATTACAAAGTGCAACAACCTTCCACCCCCGCAACCCCCAAGTACATGCAAACCTTGTTATGTAGTAGTGACTAATCCAGTTCTGGCAAACGATGTATTGAAACTTTTGGTAGTTTCTTAAACTACCCAATTTAAAAAGAAGCACAGAGTAAATCATGCGGATATTATGTGAGTCGTAGAGTACTTCCACTAAAAGAATGATTACATTTATTGTACTAGGAATACATACAAGCCCCAAGAATTTAATATGGGGAAAACTCGCTGATATCGTGCAATATATGTTCGCGCCATTCACTGTGCTATGCGGATTGAATCGGTATCCCCTGCGTGCATGTTTAAATGTGATGACGTGTAAATATTATTAACTTTATTGCTTTAGATTGGACGTTCTTCAGTGATTTGAAAACCAAAATAATTTATTATATGAAAATCGATTTTATTTTTGTGGCTGAAATTATTGGAAGGCAAGTTTCTTAATTGCAATGGGTTGATAGTCGACGTACTTTGACAGTCGACTCAGTTTGATTGTGATTTTCTGGAATATATAATAATACTGAAGTGTAGTTTCTGTTAATTACATTTATTAATGGTTGAAGAGTGACATTTCACTTGTGTAATTGTCAGAAGCGAATGTCATGAACTTACGTCACCTTAAGGATCTAGGTGTAACTTATGAAAGGTACGAGTGAACTACTTCATGTTATTATTAATTCATTTTGTACATAAGCATACAACTGAAGCAGCATGATACAATCATAACAATATTTAGTTCCCATTTGTTTATAGGCTACTGAGGATTGCGCAAAACGAATTTCGACATCATTTGGGGGGGGGGGGGGGGGTTGCGTCCGGAGAAACATAAACTCGTTTTTCACATCTCCCAATTTTTTACTGGCAGCTGGGAAGGGACATGTATATGAAAGAACCAGAACACTAATAAAGATTATAATCAATGGGAAAGAATGTGACAGCTAGAAAACCAATAGTTAATCGCCGTTCAAGAATGACGGGAAAATCAAAAGTAGTAAACACAAATAGTCATAAATATTATCTCATAAGGCTCAAAATCTCAGCAGCATTACCATGGCATCAGTTATGACAATACACATACTTATATATCCCATAAAGTCCTAAATCCCTGATGATCAAATAAACACCAGCCAACCAAAGCTGTTACTAACACTTGCCTATTACTACCTTATACTTTATGGTACTGTTTCATTATAGTGGGTAATTTAAATAAATGTTCAAAAAGACAGTAACTATTAACAAATTAATTATTTATATCAAACAGTAAATTAAATTGCTCATTTTAAAAATCAGTTTTTTACCTCACTTCTATTGAACAGCAGGCCTACCACTCAAGAAAAGGTTCTTTCAGTTTCCTTTTGAAGAGGCAGTTGTTTTTAATTTATTTCATTTAAGGAGTTTGTTATATAAGTTACAGACTTCAGTAGGTTCTAGGTTATGTTAATCTGTGGCTGATTATCTGAGTTCTTTGTCATCAGCACAGAAAATATCTAATGATACAGGTGAGTCACCAGTATCAAAATATTGATTCATCTTGCCCTTTCCAATTGTCAAGGGGACCCACGTATTTAGTTGCAACACTACACTGAAGAAGCTGTAGCTTGTCATATACCATATGTAGTAGTTATTATTGTGCTTGATGCACAGGTGGTATGGGTTACACATTTTGCTGGTTAACAAATTTGCAGCACATTCCTGATTATATTGGATAATTTATATACCTACCCTTTCATGAAACGAATGGGATAGTGAGTTTCCCTTTTCACATTTCCACAGTAAACATCTTGCATCTAGGATTACTTAACTATGTAATTTATATTATAAACAAGTATTGTATTTGTGATATGACATGTTCTATAACCTTGGCTTAGGCCTATGAAGGATCTATGGAATGTAAAAATGATAAATTCTATTCTACTTAAAAACTTTCCCTTTGCTTAATTCATATTTATAGTCAACATCTGAGGACAATCAAAATTGCAGACTAAATTTGAGCAATGCTTGCTACCATGCTACTTAGAATCTATCTTCCCTTCTACTATCAATAAATGTAAAGATTAAAATATATAACATTGTGATTTTATCTATTTGTACAATATAATGTTGCTCAGACAGATTCCCAAAACAATACCACTAATTTTCCTGAGTTCTAGTTTTATTATAATTATTGTTTCAAATTTAGAATTTTAAGTAAATAATCCCATTACAATAATGTACAAGTATCATCTGTTGATTTAAGTATCTTTATTAATAACAAAAACTACCTGTGTTATTATATAATAGTGTAACATTACAATTAGTGACACATGTGTATCATTGGCAGTGCACACAAAATACTATTCAGTGGTGCCCATGACTCATATGTGCATCACTGCTATCATTATGAGAATTAAAATATAAATTCTGATGTATTATATTTGATACATACCAAAAATCATTAAGCTGTTTTCCATGCCAAATTCTTGACTAAACGGCCAGGAAAGATGTTAAATATAAATAATTTACTATTTTGTATGGAATTTGACATGCTAACATATGAGGTGTGAAGACCACACCACAATGGGTTACAATTCTGTACCATTTCATTTGCAAAAAAGGCAGACATTCTGATGTGACTAACATAATAAAATGCATATTTAAATTCATAGATATTTTCCTCCCATTTTCTGTACTTTTGAATTGGAGAATAAGTATTACTGAAATTAAATTTCAAAGACATTTTCAGTGCATTATATCTGATAGTGAAAGAATTTGGTCTCTTATTGCTTAACATAGCTGAACACACTCATATACAATGAACAGTTTTACATCCAAATGTTATTATGTAATTTCATTGAACATCCTCTCACCTAACTTGGAATAGAAATTAATGTATGCTCTGGTACTTGTAACTAATTAATACATTTGAAATATCAGTGTAACTAGCCAGCAACTGGAACTGGCAGTGAACTAAAAAATACATAGTAAAGTAATACTACTAATTAATCTGATTACGTTATCAAAATAGGAGAAAAGCTAAAGGTGAACTTCAAATAAATGTTAATCATGTACCAGTTTTTATAACTAGCTGACCTACTGACAGGATAAAGACAGAAAATTTAGTTTTTTTTATATTACATATTGAATTTCAGCTTAATCATTTGCAACAGGACTGCAGTATGGCTTAAAAGTTACTTCTTGGAATATTTTAACAAATCATATGCCTCCAACTAACTTTAAAGTGTATTATGAAATGAATTTTAAAATTTTCTAAGTCTACAGTTTGCCTTTATAGTACACCGAATGGCTACTGTAAATTACCATTTTAGCAGTATATACATTTATCACTTGCGTACCTAAAAAAATTAATTCTATTTGCCAATATATCACAAAGTTATGAACTAACAAAAAACACCAATTACTTAGTAACTGCAGCATTAACTAAACACAATACACACAATTTCATTTTGTATTACTTTGATGAAGTAAAGCTTTTGTTTATTAGCCATTTCAGTCTATGTCTGAAAGGAACATATAATCTTATATATACTGGATAAGAAATTAGTACATCTGTTGCAAGAAAAAACTATTGTAAACACATTTTTAATACATAATGAATTAGGAAAAGAAATATTTTCATTTTATCAATATGAAGGAATGTCTATATTATAATCACAATATTCTATAGACTGCAACAAAATTGTAAGGTCCATAAGTTACCAGAACTCTGAGCACACTGATGGTTCTTACTGAGATATTTTCTCAATTTCTTTCTGGGGATCTGAGGGAAGAATAAACTACCTTGACAGAACAAGACTGGATGTACTACTGAGCACACCACAAGATGGTGTGGGCTGTATGTGATCCATACTGTGCGCATGTGCACAATGCTGTTTTATGATACTATTTCCATCTCATAGACATAGACCCACTTCAAGTCACCCGTGCGATGAATGTATAATAGCCAGCATGATAGAGTGTAGCATAAAGTTTCTCCCAACCTGCCTATCCATTTCTGGTGACTTCTTATGCCACACCTATAATAAGTTGACTGGAAAGAAATGGCATGGAATCTCTTCCTGCAAGAGTATACAGCCATGCTATTATTTTCAAATTATTTGAAACAAATTAATGGGCACAAAATATTATTTTTTTATAGCCATTAATAGGGGGGCTGGCATGGAAAAATGGACTTTCAAACTATAATGGATGCTGCCCCTTTCTTTTATATTTATTTATTATTTTTAAGGTAATGAAGCACCAATTCTCCCCATTCACAACCACAAATTTTTAACAAATTCTTATGCAATTATCCTCCAAATGCCATTTTATTATAATTTCAGCAGTGATACAGACTATAAAATTGTGTTTTGGAGGAAGATTGCAGAAGTATTACACTAAAGTTTAGTTTTACACTTGTAATATTATGTTTATGTCCAGGTGTTCTATCATAGAATAATAAAATAAACTTCACTCACTCTCTCACTTCATGTTGCATTGCAATGTTCTTGATCTTCAATTTTGTAAGTTTACATTAATTTTTTTGTTCTTGGAAACATGATGTTTATTTATATGAGATGTTTTAGAATGTGGATAAGACATTTGACAATATGCAAAGAAAGTGATGTGAATGTAAATAACTCTCTTTGCCAAAGTAATTAAGAAAGACATGGCAAGATAAGGAAAACATACTTAACAGGTTAATGCATAAAAATTCCAGTAATGGCAGAATGAAAGCATCTAGTGCAAGATGAATACACATGCAGTCTAAATACTTATGTTACTTGCATTTGTAAATAAGGCATAGAGAGTGACATAAACTGATAATTAACTTCATTGATAACAAGATGCACCAGATAAGAGTGTTGCATTTGATGCTTTTACATATAAAATTCCCTGCTTAGGAACATGACTTTAACAAAACTCTGAAAACTTTCGTTCTCATTAATATAAACTTAAGTTTTTAAATCATACATTTCTCATTTTCTAAATGAGTGACAAAGGTTTCTATCAAAGTAACAAGTGCATAGCATATCAAAAGTCCAGAAAATACCCAAGAAGTAATATAATTGTACTTTGGTCTTTGTGATAATTTTCACAAATCCAAAGAAAGGCTTCTATCTTGTGTTAATTATCTCATCATAACACAAAAATAAGTTGAACTTCGTAGCACCATACTAGAAGACTGAGGTAAGTTCAATAAGAAAACAGAATACATATGTTACAGCACACTAACATTGTTGCTCGACACACTTCCACTTATTTTTTCCATGTTGTACTTCTGTTTTGGCATAACACATACAGAAAATAATACAGCTTTATGATTCTAAAGCATTTCAGATTAGTAATAAGGCATCATTTTACATAGCTATAAGCCATGTCCATTTCCTTTTTCTAACATTTCACTTAAGACACAATCAGTTTTAACTCTGGTGGAATATTCATCTTTAAGTTGCTGTCCTGAAATAAAAGGAGAAACAATTTTAATCAGAAACAGATAAACAAAATAAATAATAACTTTCAATCCTCTCTGGCCATGAAAATAACAAATAACATATGTCAATAATTAACATTTCCCACTGTTTGTGAAGTTCATGCAAATTTTAAAATAACAAATAACATGTCAATAATTAACATTTTCCACTGTTTGTGAAGTTCATGCAAATTTATTTCAAATTTAAGGTTTAGTTGCTTACTACATTAGTTCTGAATGTATACTGTTTGCTAGGCTTTAATGTATATTAGGTGTGTAGTTAAAAGATAACAATATTAAACTGACATTTCAACTGCATTAATGTACTAATCAAACTGCTTGCTTGCTCAATGTTCGATGTTTTGCTGAATCATATTCTCCCACTGGGCAATCAGAGCACTTCGTTTCCGGATGTTCCTGAAGGATGACTGGAAGGGAAATTACAATTATTATTACATTTCATAAGCTTTGGTTATTTTACACTTAAATCTGAGCCTGTCCTGGTTACCAGTATTATGTATTATTTATGTAAGACTTGAGGTTGTAATGAGTGACAAACTAAGTTCATACTCATCTTCATGTAGAAGAATATTTAAAGGTATAGAAACATTACTGATAATTCTCAGCTGTGTAAAATTATATTTTACAAAATTATTTCTTTTACGATACATTCCAAAGTTACTGCATATAAAACTGTTAATTCAGGCGCACAATGCCAAACCATGCAGACTATGGACATAGGCAATCAGTTGCTTGAATGTTAATCATCACATTGAGAACTAGGTGTCCTTTATTTTGCTCATTACTGTACGTTCTTGCATCTAATAAAGTGGAATGTAGTATGATTATGTCCCCTGGGTTGTAGTGATATGCAGTCTGGTTTACCATTGTTTAAGAGGGTCTTGCTGCCTCCATCATCAGGGTAATGAGTGACACCCTGATGATGGATGTAGCTAGTACCTCTGAAACTTTGGTAAACTTCTATAAGACTACCTGGTGCTACAACTTAGAAGACAGCCATCTTCATACTCTAAACTCAAATTATACTTATGTTGGTGTTGTTTAATATCAAAAGTTTATGCTATTTATATGAAAAGGAGATAAACCTTGTCCAATGATGATTCACTGTCACCATTAAGAGTTGTTTCTGAGTCCAACAAATTAGGATTTGACACAGCACTGCGAAGAGGGGTGTGGTTCTCTACATCTCTGTCTGTTGTGAGGTTCTGCTCCTCCTCATCATCACCATCCCCAAGGCACAGTAAATTGGGTTGAGATCGTGCAAACATTCGAGCACGCTGCAGTCTGTGGAAATCAGAAAATTGTTTTATATAATGTAATATTTGAGATTTTCACAGCGGTGAGTATGAAGATTTCTGTCTTCGGGGTTGATGCGCTGTGTAGTCTGGTCGATATTAACCAACGTTTCAGAGGTCATACTGCCTCCGTCATCAGGGCGATGAGTATGAAGATTTCTGTCTTCTGGGTTGTTGCGCTGTGTAGTCTGGTCGATGTTTACCAACGTTTCAGAGGTCATACTGCCTCCATCATCAGGGCGATGAGTATGAAGATTTCTGTCTTCTGGGTTAAGGCATGTATGAGTTTTAGAGAGGTTTCATAATCTTAAAAAGGGATGTGGAAACAATTTAACAAAATGCAACAAAACAGCTGTTCTGTTCTTGATTCTAGATACTGAGTACGAGATGTGGTTCCAGTGCTAGCAGGAACAGTGGAACAACTACGCACATGCTGAACAAGCCTACTTTGCAGACTATACTGTAAGTTTTTACAAACTCATTCTCAATATACTTTGATCAAGCCTCAAATGATAATAATTTCTTTGTTACAATATTCAAATTATGTTTAATTTTAAGGCTTCAAAACTAATGTAATCTAGCGTTTAGCATTGGTTCTCAGTAGGTGGCTCTTACAATATGGTGACAACAGAAAAGAGTTTAGGCACCATGTTAAAAAAAATTTCAATGGATCATCAACATGACTGCAAAATATTTCCCACTGGAATTTTCAGCTTGAACTGAATGTATTACAGTACTGTCTCAAGATATTCATGCAGTGACCACAGAAGACAATGAAAAATCTATTAGTGCAACTAATATTCTAACCAAGACAGAACAGGTATCTTCCAGTAATAAGCTGGATGCACCTGTATTGGACCAACCTGCTCAGTAAATATTATATATATTATATAGCATTACAAAATTATAATTTCCTTTTCATTCCTACAACATAAAATCAAATCATATATACCTCAGTTCTTCTTCACGTTTTTGCATCTCTTGTAGTTCCACTTGGATTTTTTCTCCCGCTGAAATATATCCTCGACGAGACATTGTTCGCTGAACATCTCCATTCTCTTTCTCATTGTCTTGTGAATTCTGTTTGATGAAAAAACGATAATACCGTGAGAAACCTGTCAGAATAGCTGCTGATTTCTAGGCTGAAATTTGAATCTCAGACCTCTTGAATGTGAAACAGGAAAGCGGACTAGTTAGCTGTGACATTCGGTTGTGGAACTTCAAACAGTTCATCAATACTCACCTGCTGTTCTTCAAGTGATGTATCTGCAAGTTTGTTGGTTGTAACAGGAGATACTGGTAGTGGCACTGGAGTGGGCGAATTTGATGCAGTAACGAATCCAGAGCTGAGTGTCCCCATCTTTCCTCTAGTTGCCAGAAATCTCTGCATCAATCCCTTTTGACCCAGAGAAGCAGGGAACTTCCGTGGGCTAAGAGTTAGGGTGCTGGGACTCTGAGATATAGTTCGACCAACTGTGCTGTGTCCTCCTGGTGGACTGTTATTCTGTATTTTCTGTACAGAAGTGATGGAGGGGCTGGCCTGACCATTTATCTCATCTACTGATTGCGGAATGTGCGATGTAGAGACGGATTTTAGAAGTTTACGATCTTGCTCCTCAATGGCAAATTCTGCCAAGTCTGTAAATCGTGTTACCTGAAAAGTATGTGTGTAAAATTATCTTAATATTTGCTATAGGCTGCACTGTAACGCCCCATAACTAAACTTCAAATGGAAATTTTCAAGTATGCGTACTTTAAATGTATAATATAATGTTTTAACTTCGTTAGCAGTGACTGATCCTTGTACATAGTGTTTAAGATGAAGATAGCTGTCATATATATATATATATATTAATATTTGTACTCGCATGAGAACTTCAAATCCCTTGGAATCCATATTTGTTATTTTTCTAATGGCTTTTAGAGACTAAAATTCTTCTAGTTGGAGTTTCTCTTTTTATTTTTTCTTGGTAATGGTACCTGCACCTTGTCGTGGTGGTGGGGCTTGAGTATTTCAGTGATCCCAAGAGCTACTGATAGGGCCTCCCAAGCCAGATTGGTCGAGGGGGAGAGGTCAGACTAAGACAGGTACCCTGTTCCTCCAGGTTGGGGGTTGGTCGCAAGGCTAACAACCTTGCACCGTAAAAAGGAAGATGTTTCGAAACCTCAATCAAAGCCTCGGATAGACGGACCTAACAGAGGACCGAATGGAAGAGGAGAATTGAGGAGGCCATGGACCGAATACAGACCGGAGAGCCATAGAAGAAGAAGAAGAAGAAGAAGAAGAAGAAGAAGAAGAAGAAGAAGAAGAAGAAGAAGAAGAAGAAGAAGAAGAAGAAGAAGAAGAAGAAGAAGAAGAAGAAGAAGAAGAAGAAGAAGAAGAAGAAGAAGAAGAAGAAGAA